ACACCCACATCCACACCCACACCCACACCCACACCCACACCCACCACACCACACCCACACACCCACCCACACCCACACCCACACCCACACCCACCCCACACTCCCTTAGATAAAAGAAAAATATTGGCAAGCATCTTATTTATAGTCATTATATGTACTTTATAGCCATGTTTGTAGAAACAAATATACGTCAGCAGATTATATAGACAAAAAAAAATACACAAACAACTTGTTTATATTCATTGAATCTCTTTCGTCTATTTTTTAATAGATAAAATGATAGAACGAGAAAAACGACTAATACCTATACAAAAGTCCACTGAAGAAGCAAATATGCACTAACAGATTACTTATACAAAATATAAACACAAACATCCTGTTTATCGTCATTAGAGGTATATCAAAGCTAAATATTAAAACAGATAAAATAAAGAAGAACAAACTAAATTTCAGCTGTAGAAAAGTCCGTTGAATAAACGAATATCCGCTAGTATATTAGATAAAAGAACACAAGCCACTATATCTTATTGATGGTATTTCAAAGTATTTCATCGTTTCCTGTTTCAACATATAAGACGAAACTAAAACAGCAAAACTAAAAGCTAAAGAAAACGTGTTAGAACAAACAAATATACTTTAACACGTTAGATAAATGCAAAATATTCGCAAACATTTTATTTGTAGTTATTTTATTTTTTCATATATTCATGTTTATATAGATACAAATATTACAAGTTATAGGAAAGTCCACTGAATAAAGTGACATCCACAAGCACATTAGATATAACAAGAAAATAGGCCATCATCTTATTCATATTCATTCCATGAATTTTACAGCTGCATGTTTGAACAGATAAAATAAAGAAAGTAACGAAACTAATAGCTACACAAAAGTCAGATAAAAAACAAACTATCAGTATCATATTTGATGAACAAAAGATCCCCTCATTCACTTTATTTATAGTCACTTTATGTATTCCATAACTGACTGTTTGAATAGATAAAAGTAAAAAACAAACAGCTATAGCAAAGTTCGCCGGAGAAACAAATATTCACTAGCATATTAGATATATGAAAACTATGCTCAATCATCTTGTTTACAGTTATTGAATCTGTTGTGTCTATTTCTCAATAGATAAAATGAAGAACAAGAAAAAAAAAAGTACTAGTAGTTTTTGAAAGAACCTATGGAGAAGCAAATATCCGCTAGCACATTAAATATAAGAAGAATATAAACCATTATCTTCTTTATAAGTCATTTTATGAATTTCATAACTACATATTGGAATAAATACAATAAAAGAAAAATAAAATAAAATCATAGCTATGCAAAAGTTCTTTCAAAAAAAGTAACATCTACTAGCAGATCAGATATACGAAAAATATTCGAAAATATCTTATAATCATTATATGTATGTCGTGGCTAGATATGGGCAACATGGTCCCGGTCCCGGTCCCGGTCCCGGCGGGACTAGGACCGGGACCGGGACTAACTTTTATTTTTTGACCGGGACTAGCACCGGGACCGGGACCAACTTTTTTTTTGGACCGGGACCAGGATCGGGACCGGGACCAACTTTTTTTT